ACCGAGAATACTTACGACTTAAAGTTGAACTTATAACTTTAATAACTTAATAACTGGGCTCGGTACTGGGAACGAGCATTATTAATATAAGTAATTTAGTTCAAACTCAGAACTAATAATAATTACTTTTAATAATTACTGAATGGGATGTTACATACCCCGACCAACCTGCAAATCCTAACATTGAACATAATTCTAATGCCGTAGTTGTAACCCGAGCTAACCCATTTTTCTTTGCCGAAGAACCTGAGATAAAAGCATTTATGAGGATGTGCGAGCTTCTTCTAGGATTGGTCTTCAAAGCTCCTTGCACAATCGACCTCCTCCTGGATTTTATACCTTCTTTGTCGACCAAATTCTCAGTGGTCTTCGATTCCCCATCTGATTCAACCTTCTTGCCCTCAGCGAAATGTGTAACATTCCTATTAACCAACTTAGTCCTAACTCCATTCTCATGCTAGTAGTTTTTACCTTTCTCAACAGCTATAAACTCCAAGATCTAGACACTCAGTTCTTCTTCTATTGCTACAACCTTAAAAATCAAATAGGTTTGACTTATCTCAATGCTCTAATAAAAAACTACCCGCGGGCATGCTGGCGTACACTTCCTCCGACATGCGCTGACAGCCATGAGTTGCTGTCTAGGCTCGCCTTGCTTGGAGTTTGTTCGGTCGTGTCCTTGCTCGTCCGGGCTTGTCCTCGATTTTTGGATTAGTCGATAAATAAAATAGCAACAATCACATATAATCGACCTATGATCTACGCAGGGAACCAGGGACCGCACATAAATGATTTCTAGTAAAGCAGTAAATTATGCGGTGTCCCACAACGCGTCTAAATTCACAATCCAACAAGTTCTTTGACATGTTTGAGGCTTTCAAAACACAAACATACAACAGAAATAAAACACATATATTCAGGACATAATAGTCGGACTTAGAATTCTTGCAAAAACTCGAGATTTGCAATTCTATACTACTATGCGCTACGGGTACACAATTATTTCACGTATGTTCACATAAACTAATTCGAAGTGCACACAAAAACCGAATTAGCCAGGCTTTAATCACAGTTTTCGGTTAATGTGTGCATCGAATAACTTAATGAATTTAATCCTATCGTAGGTTAATTTATTGATAGGATTTGAGGACTTATGTTTCAAAATTTTTCGACTCTAAGATGCTGTAGATTTTCATTGATGGAGATCGTCTGTCTCTTCGGGTTACTCATCAAACGCCGAGGAGCTCGCTGAGCCTAATCGGGTTGCACGCTTTTGTGGGTCACGTCACTGTCGAGTTGCACGAGGCTGCTGCTTTAGGCGCACGGTTAGCACGTCGGGTGGTACGCCTCGATCTATTGGTGGTCGCCGCCTTCGCTAGTGGTTGATCGTCGGTGGATGAGGTTTATGAGGCTGTATATATTTTTCAGGGATGGACGAATATATGACCCTCAGATTGCTATTGTATGACCTCGCACCTATCTCGATTGGCGGGGTTGGACGACTTATCGAATTCTTAGACCTCACACAAAACTCACGTTTTTCTCTCTTTTCCTTTCTCTCGGTTTCAACATATTTACCTTAGAAACTAGAGAGGAGTGCATGTGTAATGTATTGGGAAAGGAGAATGAATTGGTGTATCTATAGGCTACAATAAAGACCCTAAGGAGATGCTAAATGTGGTCCCCTAAAGTATGGGCCTAACTATAGGCCAAATCCACTCCGCTCATACTCGAATAATATTAAACGTCACTATGATAATATTATTGAACTCCCCATTTAGCACCCGAAATACAAATAATCTGTTCTCAACAAATTACTCGAATTACCTCTCCATGTTTAAAATATAACGTTTGTCGATTAATTTAATAACTGACAATTTAATTAATCAACATCTATATTCGAAACTAGTACTACTCAGTTCATTCTTATTATGCTGGAACAAATTCCACCTGCAAGGCTTGACATAATAAACCTTCTTGAGTTCATTTCTGCGACTGTTGGGTTCTATTAGGAATGTCAACGACATGCACAGTATTGAACTTATCAAAATAAATCCTAACTCAGTGGAATCTATAGTTAGGATTAAGGCATTACCTTTTAAATTTTTTGCCGACTCAGAGACGTTTCTGATTTTCTCTGTAGGAGATCGTCTGAACCGCAAAGTCCATTGGGTAGTCGGACTAGACTTCCTTGATCGAAATCGGGTCGTCGGGTCACGAACGGGTCACCGGGTCAAGGACTTGTCGGGTTCGGGGTGATCGGACAGGGCTGAGCTAGGTCAGATCGCGGCTGGAATTGGCTGTCCTCAGTCAAGTTCGCTGCGGCACGGTATCGGGTCTACTGGTCAGGCCTGGTCGCGGTCGAGCGTAGACAGGCGGTGCAGCAGGGTGCTGCAGGTGGGGGTTCTGGCTATACGTGCTGGACGTTGTTGTACGCGGGTCGGCAGCGTGGTCCTCGGGCGCGTGCGTCGCTGGCTTTCCTAAGTTGGGGTGGACTAGGGCAGGCTCAAGGATTGCGGGCGATTGGGATCACTCGCGGTCGCTGGCAGACGGGCGTACAGGGCAAGGCAGAGGCACAAAGGCTTCGGGCGACAGCGTATAAGGTGACAGGGCGTCGCTGGAACTCGCGGTCACGTCTGGCTAGCGTGCGGCTGCGAGCGTTAGCTCGCGGCTGCGTGCTGGCTGGGCAGGGGCAAACTCAGGCGGCTGAGGGCGGCGACGGACTGTGGTGCATGGCGGCGGATCTGGCCGAAAAATAAGAGATCTAAGAGGTTCAAATATTTTACCTTACGATCTTCTAATAATAACCTAAACACCAATTCTAAAAAATCTCGGTGGGCGATATTCTAAATTACTCGAAATCTCAATATATAGATAACTCGAACTCTTTTTTCCCGTAGGAAACCTTAGTCGTGCGTGTATGTATCGTTTTTGAAGAGTTCAAGACATGGTGTATTTATAGGCTACATTAGGGACCTTAAGGAGGTGCTAAATATGGGCTTATCCCATTAGGTTTAAGAATCCTAATCATATTCCATATACTTTCACATCTAGGATAATATTCCTCCTAACCCTAATTACCTTCTAGACGACTTCATAGTCTTCTAACCCTAGCTAATATTCTAGAAGGAATATTCCTCTCCTAATGGAATATTAATTATGGCAATATAATTAATTCCTAATTCCTACATGAATTAAATAACAAAACATTCCACTAAAGTAATATTATTATTCTCCCCATTTAGCTCCAATTTATTCAATAAATTCGAACCTCCACTTGATTAATTAATATTAATCTAAATGACCAATTGGGGAATGGAAATTTTCCATGTTGGGATTTGATTTTCAGTTGGCAAGGCAGAGGTACTTGTACTAATGGTTGGACTCTTCATTGCGATGCGGTGGTTTGCGAGTCCAAAATTGGTTTGAGTGGCTGGTTTTGTGATAAAAACGGCGTATGTCAGACAGCCTTTGCTACTTGCATTGAGGGCTCATTTTCTCTTTTATTAGCGGAAGCGCTAGCGCGTCGTCATGGTCTCCGCTTTGCTCTGGACTCAGGCTTAAAGGTGCAGACGGTGTTGATAGACTCCTTAGAAGTTGTTGGCGGTATTGCGAACTCGGAGGATTTGGACCCTCTCTTTGAGGTATTTACGGATATTGTGAGTCTTTTAGCGGCTTTAAACTGCAGTCCGTGTTGCCATGCATCTCGGAAAGACAACGTGGTAGCCCATAATATAGCTAATTGGGCGATCTCTTCACATCCCCCCAATATATTAATTCAAAACGTGCTGAGCCTATGTGGCAGGCTCGCATGCTTCGGGATCCTATGTGGCAAAATTACATGCTTCGTTATTAGGCTTGGGTAGATTTAATTTACTTCTAATCCAAAAATATTTAGGTTCGGATTATCTATAAATATGTTGATTATTTATGGTAGGGGTGGGCGCGGTCCGGGACGGTCCTGGATTTGACTTGTCCGGATATCGATTCCACTTTTATGAATTGGTCTGGGATGAGGCACCGTCCTCACCCATGTAATACATGGGTGTTGTACTAGTTCTTCTTATTATTGGAAGGACTCTCTTCCAATTTTGTTTTCTTCTATCTTTAATTAGTTTGTATCATAGTTTTAAACCCGCTTGGTAATCGACCCGGGCAGGTCTCCGGGTCACTGGGTCATCGGTTCAACCGTCGGGTCGTCGGGTCAATTGATGAACCGGATAATTAATTTTAAAATTTTTAAAATTATATATAGAGTATTTTTGTCATATAGATATGCATAAAAGTAACAAAATTAAATGTTTTGTATATAAAATTTGTACATCAAAGTGTTAATAATATGTATCTCAGATAAATAATTACCATGTAAACATATATACATAGTTTTATTTTTAAAAAATAAAAAAAAAAATTAAAAAAATTAAAAAAAAAATATATGGGCCGGGTCAATGCTTCGGGTCGGCCGGGTCAAGGTCGGGTTGGCAAGGTTTTGACCGGGTCCTTTGTTGCCCGGTCCAAATAGCCCACCCGAACCGGTTCCGGCTCTGAATCGACCTGCCGGGCCGATCCGAGTAAAAAAACTATGGTTTGTATGTAGTTTTTTAATAATAATAATAATAATAATAATAAACCAAACTAAGTCATTGGGAGGAAGATGAGATGACATAGTAATTTCACAATTTATGAAATTTGCATTTAAATTTAATATGCTTTTTTGGGACAATATTTAGGAGTGTATTCGTTTTAAATATCTTAAGTGTGGAGGTGAGATTTTGGCTGAGATTTTTTTTAAAAATTCTAACAGATCTTAAAAAGTGTTAACAAAATATATTCTCAAATAAGTCAATTATATCATAATTTTGTAATAATTTTTAAAATCTCAAATTAAACCAAAATTTATAAAGTTTTAATTTTTTTTTAAAAAAAAATCTCAAATAAACACACCCACACACTTTTGAGGTCATGTCATGTGGACCCATTTCTTCTAGAGCCTTCTCCAGTCTCTCTCTGCCAGGTTACACCACCTTTTCTCTCATAGATACCACAGCAATGTCTGCTCGTAGTACACGTCCCAAATTGGGAAATATTAACAAACAGAATCGAAAACTGATTTTACTTCTGCGTTAAAATGGAGTCCGAGCTGAAAGCACAACCTTTTGCGCATCACGAACCGGGCTCCCACCCGCTCCTTGAACCCGAACCGGAAATTTTCCAGCTCCCGAATCCTGAGACGAACCAAACCGCACAGGAGATGGATAGTAAATACGCTCCTTTCGTTCGGTACGACGTTTACGGGCCAATGGGCCGCGGAGAGTTGCCGTGCGTCGAGAAATTTCTGCTCCTGATGGCCCTAATGTTTCTTGTGCCGATGCGAGTCATGGCGGGTTTAGTTATCATGGCTGTTTATTACGTGATTTGCAGGGTTTGCACCGCTTTTCTGGCTCCGAACACAAAGGAGGATGAGCAGGAGGATTATGCCCATATGGGGGGATGGCGGAGGGCGGTGATTATGGGGACCGGTAGATTTTTGTCCAGGCTTATGCTATTTGTTTTGGGGTTCTATTGGATTTCTGAAACTAAGATTGGTGGAGAGTTGAGCAGTGAGGTACATTTTTCCCCCTTCTTTATGGTAATTTTTTTAATTGCAGTTTAGTGTGGTTTTGATTTACTGCGGTCGTCTAGTGTGGTTTGGTTTAATATGTTAATAGTTTGTTTGTTTGGGCTAATTTGCTTCATTTTGTTTTAACATTTCTGTATATTTTAGAGATATGAGTTAACTGAAGGGGAAGATAGATTGCTCTGTGTATTTTCATGCGTTTAGGGCTTTAATACTGAAAAAGGAGAAGTTCTATTACTGTAGTGGTATATTGGCGAAAAGTCTCAGTTAATGAAGAGATATAGACATATACTCTGGAAATTATGAACATTCCAATATCAGTATATCTTGCTCAAGATACATGTGCTAGTATAGTTGTTTATGATTAACCCTACCTGCATCGATAGAAATGCAATATCAGACTCAGTATATCATGCTCAAGATTTTGTGACAGTATTAATTGTAATTGTTTGTGATTAGCCTTACCTGTGATGATGACATTATGCATCTGAATTGTGTTTCTGTGGTACTGGTAGATTGTTCATTTATCGATTGAGTTGCTTCCTTTGTTATTTTTCATCAACAGTTGAGCTTTTCGGAAATTCTGGGAGTAGGTCTAGTTATTTTTAAGATGCATTTCAATTGAATTGTGCTTTCTCTAATTTCAGGATCAATATGAAGAGGCAGGAGGACCTGGCGTTATTGTATCCAATCATGTATCTTATATAGATATACTTTATCACATGTCGTCCTCTTTCCCAAGCTTTGTTGCCAAGGTTAGTTAAGTCTTTAATTATTACTACAGATATATATTTCGTGATGCAATAGTGTACCTGATACCTTTTTGTCTATTTGTGTGGGTTATGCTTTGCCAATTTGTTTTGGAAGAGATCAGTGTCCAAACTTCCTATTGTTGGTCTTGTAAGGTTGGTTCACCCTTCTTTACTATGTAAATTGTGGCGTTCAGAAATTTGTGTGCTTTTGAGCATCAGTGGCTATCTTGTGCATCTGCTTGCTGTTAAATGTATTAGTAGAAGTATCTGAAACTCAAGTTCGGTGAATGGGCAACCCTGGCATTTCTAGTGCATTTCCTTTAGGTTTTGGATATGAGTTTGACAACGGTGTACTGTTGGACCATGCAACTGTTCTTTATAGATTCTTTCCAATCTATGCAAACTTTTTTTCTTCTGAAGGTAATATACATATTTTTTTTTCATGATCGTCTTTCTCATTAGAGTTATTCATTAAGGATCCTTGAGTGGCTGTACCAAGAATAATACTGTTGTCTTTTTCTGTCTTTTTGGTTCCTTTGTGGACCTCAATATTATTAATATTTCTTCTTGAATACTCCCATTGTTGGTTCTTCCAAATATTACTTTTAATGTTCCACAGGCGAATCACTTAAAAAAAAAATCAGGAGAAGCATATTTTATAAATCTTCCTCTTTGTTGCTCACTTTCTGTTCTTATTCGTGGGTTATTTTCTAGTTCGTACCTACATGTCTTTTTTTTACGTCATTCTTCGTAAGAGTTGAACTGTTCTACTCTTTTATTTTACAGCAAGTGCCTTGGATGTGTCTATGTTCAGCGTGAGTTGAAATCATCAGACACAAAAGGGGTCTCAGGTAACTTTCGTTGTTCCTCTCAAAATATTTGGGCATTGTATTCATTACAAAATATCAATGATTTGGCCAGAGGCAAGGAAATTAAATTAGTTGGCTTCATATGTGGATACATCTTAGGATAGCCGTTTATAAGAATAATGTTTAACAACCTGAGGTATGAGGATACTGTTTTCTTTTGAAAAACTCGTCTCTCACATTCATTTAAGAATCCTGTGGCATCCAAACCTATCAAGTGATCATTCATTCTAGAAAATGTTTTCTTAAAGATTAGCCTTCTCTATTGCCATATTAGAAATGGTTGGCTCAGTACAAAATCAGCTGTTTTGTCAATTGGACCGCAGGGAAATTATGGTCTATACGGGAAAACTTTTTCCTCTTGTCAGAGTATACCACTATATCCTGCACAACATTGGGAATTATTGACTAGGTTATATAATCTTGGGAATACCTCCTTTCTTGATTTGCAGCTGTTATCAGTGATAGAATTCAAGAAGCTCATCAGAATAAGTCTGCGCCTAAGATGATGATATTCCCAGGTGGTGTATGTTAGACCACCCTAGATTTTGTCCATTTCTATTCTCTCTCAAAAAATTGTAATGCACTATTCACATATTATTCTCTTGTCTGTCTATTAATCATTTATATTGTTGAAAAACTCATCAAGCCTTCAAGCTCTGATCATTACATCGAGATAAAGTTTCAGAACAACTGCAAGATTAAAAATCCCCAGCTTGTGATTCACTGTGGTATATTATCATTCACAGTAATATTATTTATTTGTCTGGCGATCTTAACAAAAACTGCCCAGCTGCAGCAATAACTTGGTATATTTTGTCACAATATATCATTTCTTGAAGGTTAAAACATTTAAGATTCACCATTCCCCTCAGTATTTGATTATCTCTATCTACAATGCACCTGTGACTACAACATCTGTTATATCATCTGCTTAATACTTCTTTATGTCTCATTAACAGAAGGCACAACCACAAATGGTGACTTCCTCCTTCCATTCAAGACAGGTGCATTTTTGGCACAGAGTCCAGTACTTCCCATCATTTTAAGATATCCTTTCCAAAGGTTTAGTCCAGCATGGGAATCTATTTCTGGGGTTAGTTGTAAAAATACTTTTTTTCCCATCTTAGTTTTCATTTTCTCCTCTCCACTGCCAATATGCCCCATCATGTATGCTCTGGTGTTTCTGATGTTGTGGAAAAAATGATTTATCTCCTTCCTTCTTTCTTTNGTTTGCCAGTTCTTTGTTTTATCTTATTAGTACCTCAAAAATTGGCGAAAAGATTAGAATGGTAGTTGTGGATGATTGTTGAAGTAATTGAGATGCTTTACATGCAAGTAGTTGTGGATGATTGTGGATGCAATTTCTACAAAACCATAGGCTGGTTTCCATCTTTATGCACTGTTCATAGCTGGCCATACATGGCAAGAAATTTTAAATTTATTAAATTTGCTCTCAGGTTAAACCTATCAATCCTAATATATATCACATTTCGTTTCTGCTGATTTGATACGTTAAATCTCACTGCAGGCTCGCCATGTGATTCTTCTTCTCTGTCAGTTTGCAAATTACATTGAAGTAACTAAATTACCTGTTTACTATCCCTCAGAACAAGAGAAAGCAGATCCCAAGCTTTACGCTGAAAATGTCAGGAGGCTGATAGCTCGTGAGGTACACCTTTTTTTGGCCAAAAAATGTAAATAAAAAGAAAATCATATTTGAGGGTGAAAATTTGGAGGCATTACTTGATTGTCTGGCGTCCTTCCATATATTCTCACCTTGTTACTCTGTGATTCTTTATAAATATCAACACTGCAATGTCAATTTATAAACTTGGCTTCCCTCAGTTGATGAAACCTGCTCTATTTCAAGATGCTGCAAATTACATAAGTTGAATTGTGAAGGCAAAATAGATTTTCCTTGTGACAGGCTAGGATTTATTATACTTGTTCCAAAGAAAGGAAAAAAAAAAAAAAAAATGTTCTCCTGCCTCTGAATGTCCCTTTTGCTGTTGGCTCTTTATGATGCAGGCCAATTTGATTCTTTCAGATGTTGGACTGGCAGAGAAAAGAGTCTATCTTCAAGCTCTCAATGGTAATATTAGTACGCCCACTGTTTTGCACCACAAAGATGATTGATAACTTTGTCCACCATCTTGGAAGTTGACTGTATTAAATAATAGGAAGCAGTTGTAAAGGTTTTCCTTCCATGAGGATGCGAATATGTTAACTTCGTCTTCAACTTTTGTAAATATCTCACCAAAATTGGTAGTCAGACTAATGAAATGGGATGATGTTTCCATGGATTTTTTTTATTTTTTTTTTTCGTTTCGCCTTTTTAAGAGCTCTACCAAATCTCTCTCGGTTGGTAGGTACATGGTATAACCTGAATCATATTTTTGGTATTCCTGCAGGTTTACTGTGTGATGGATAATATGGCTTCCCCGTGTATGTACTATACATTGTGTGTGTGTATGTATGTATGTATATTTTTGTTGTACCACAAAAATACAAATAATACCTGATAGATATGCTGGATGAATTCATACAAATCCTGAAGCAGTTTCATTTGCAGCTTCAGTTTCATCATTATTTTGCTATTTGTTTGGATCATTTATGTCTACAAAACACATGTTTTTAGCTAGTAAATTGTCTCGGGTTTCCTTGATGAACAATGAAGTCATAAAGCCAAATGAGATTGAGAAGCTAGTCTATGTAGCTAGCTCATAAGTATAAAACACCTTTCCAGCCATCAAGTTTTAATTGGTAAATAATTATTTGCAACTTGTACTAATCGCGTTTTCGGATTTTGCAACTTAAAGAATATTTTGTACTAAATTGCAACCTTTAATACACGGGTTTGCCTGTATCGCAACCTCCGTCCATCGGCGGCTCGTTTTCCACCGGAAAAGCGAGCGTGCGACGCACACGCACGAATCTTGAGGGTAGATTTGTCATTTTATGTACGCGACATTTGGACTCCCCCAAATACACTCTGAATTGAATTGAATTCACAAACCCAATTCAAAATTAGGGCAAAATATTCACTCTTCTTGTCTCTCTCTCTGCTCGAAAAAAACGAGAACTTTCTCTGCAAAAATTTAGAGCAAACACTTCGCAAATTCAAATTGATTGCAATTGTGATGGTCTGGAAAAAGCGAATCAGTGATGACGACATACCACCAGGAAGACCCTGCCCAGATTACGGTTTGTACTGTAACCCTAATTCGTAATTTTTTTTTGATTTTTTGTTGAATTTGGCCCAATTCTTTTAACTGTGAACATGTTTGTGTGGTCCCGTTTTAAATGTGGCGACAATTTCTTGAATGTGGCGACAAATTAGTGGATTATTCATATATCAACATGTGAATTTTTTCTGAAATGTGGTCCCTTTTTCGAAATTGATAAATTAGTTTAGATTTTTATTGATTTTTTTATTTAATTTTCATGTGAAGGGACCAGGATATTGATTTGTGTAATTAATATTCTTGTCCCCTTCAGGTCCAAGTTCACAACTGTTTACCATTTCATTTCATTATGGTGGACGATTTATGGAACTCGGTGATACATGCTATACTGGTGAGAACATGAGGGTAAGTCACATTGACTACTGTGACCCTGATGAACTCTCACTGATAGAAATATTTCTTATGGCTTCTGAAGTTGGGGCAGAAGGTGTTAGGTGTGTGCATTGTAGTAGAAATGGTGTTAATGATTGTCGGTCTTTGTTTGTCTTGAAAAATGATTTTGATGCCATAAGTCTTGTTAACTGGATTGATGAGAATAGAATGGTTGGTTTATATGTTGAACTTATAGAAGACTACATGAGTAGTCAACCTTCTGAGTGCTTGCCTTCTGTTGATGAACCATTGGATTATGTGGGGGATGATGGGCAGGATTTAGATGAATTAATTGATAATTTCACTGTTGAACAAAATCATAATGATATATGTGATGATGATTGTGGTGATGATGATTTGGGTGATTCTGATAGTGAGTTTGAAATCCAATCTTTTGGATCAGACTCAGAGTGTTCTGATGAGTTTCTTGAGAGTGATTGTGATTTGTATGATGAAGATGATAAGATGTTTGAAGGTCATGTAGATGCAGAAATTGAATGGGGAGGGATAACTAGAGAGGAACATGATAGGCTTGAATTTGCATGTAGCAAGGGTAAGCAGAGAGCTAAAAATGCCCATCCAACTTTTGATCATCAAAAAGACATGCAAAATCCACAGTTTGAATTGGGCATGAAATTTCCTGACTTAAACATGTTTAGAAAGGCTGTTAGGAACTTTGCAATTGCACAAGGTAGAGAAGTGTCTTTTACAATTAATTTGAGCTATAAGGTGCAAGCAAGATGCAAAAATAAGTCATGTCCTTGGCTCATTTATGCATCCAAAGTTCAGAATGAAGACACTGTGCAGGTTAAGACATTCAATGGTAGTCCTAGAAACCAAAAGGTGAGTCATGCTACTCCAAAATGGATAGCTGAAACTTACAAAAATAAGATATTAGATAATCCTAAATGGCCAGTAGAGGCAATGATGACAGAGATGCAAAGGGAAGTACGGATTGTTTTCAAAAGATGGCAAATGTATCAGACTAAAAAATATGTGTCTCAGATTGGTGTGGGAGCTGATTGTGAGCAATATGCTATGCTTTGGTCTTATGCTGAAGAGATCAAAAGACACAACCCTGGGACCACTGTGAAAATTAAAAGCAAACTTGTAGATGGGGGAGCCACTGTTTAAAAGAATTTATATTTGTGGGGCTCTTTAAAAAGGGGATTGCTTATGGGTTGTAGGAAGGTGATATGCTTAGATGGTTGCCATCTGAAAACCAGTTGTGGTGGTGTTCTATGGACTGCAGTTGGGGTTGATGGAAACAACTATATGTATCCTTTTGCATATTCTGTTGTTGAAAAGGAAACAAAAAAAACTTGGCATTGGTTTGTTAAACTGTTGAAAGGAGATTTGGGGATTGAGAATTCTTTTCAGTGGACAATAATGTCAGATAAACAGAAAGGGCTGGTAGATGCCATTGAAACTCTACTGTCAGATGCTGAGCATAGGTTCTGTGTCCAACACTTGTATGGAAACTTTAGGGCTTCATTTAGGGGATTAGCCCTGAAAAACTTGTTGTGGAGAGCAACCAGGTCCACTAGGGTTGTTGATTTTAATGCTGCAATGAAAGAACTGGAAGGAAGGGATAAAGAAGCTTTTGAATGGTTGGCTAAGAAACCAGCAAATCAGTGGTCAAGGTCACACTATAGTTGCAACTCAAAGTGTGATATGCAGTTGAATAATATGTCTGAGTCATTTAACTCACTCATTCTGAGGGCAAGGAGTAAACCTATTGTTTCTATGTTGGAAACAATAAGACTTATCTTGATGAAGAGGACCTACATGAGAAGGGATCAGATGAGAAAACATCTGCATGGGAACTTGTGCCCAAAAATCTTGAAGCTGTTGGAGGAATTGAAGAAGAAGTCCATGGGTTTTATTTGTCACTGGAATGGAGAAGACCAATTTGAAGTTGAGGGAAGCTCAAGGAGATTCAGAGGTCATATGGGGGAGAAATCATGCACATGTAGGAAGTGGGACCTCACAGGTATCCCTTGTGAGCATGCCATAAGTGGTATGTTCTTGTTGAACACTCAATCAGAGGACTATGTTGTTGACTGGTACCACAAAGAAACATTTTTGAAGGCTTATTCTGAGATGTTGGGCACTATTGAACCTCCTGAAAGTTGGCCAACTGTAGAAGCAATACCCTTGAAACCACCATCTGTTGGCAGTCTACCTGGAAGGCCAAAACAAAATGCTAGAAAAAAACAGCCCCATGAAGAGGTCTTGCCAGGAAAATCCAAAAACAAAGTTGAAGTGAGGCTCAGTAGGAAAGGGAGAATAATGAAATGTTCTCTCTGCAAGAAAGATACCCACAACATCAGATCCTGCCCTTTGAAAAATGACAAGAGTGCACCAACTGGAAGACTTCCTATACCACCCTCTAATGAAGATAGTTCTGTGGTCAAGGTAAATGAATTTGTTAAACAATTATGTGTTTTATTATAAAAATTTGTTTTTCTGATTCATTAATTGAATTGTTTTTTAATGAAGAGAAACAAGAGGAAGAAAACAGCTGAGAGAGAGAGTGGAAGTGAAGTACCAGCCCCTACTGAGGAGATTAATGTGGTTAAGGTAATATTCTTTGTTATACGATTGTTACTAATTGGTGTGTTTATCCAATTGAAAGCATACTTTGTACATAATTGTTTTTTTTCTGAAGGAGAAGAAGAGCAAAGCAAGTGGCAGAGAGTGTGAAATGTCAGCCCCTATTGAGGAAATTATTGTGGGCAAAGTAATTTGTTACTTAAATAATTGTTACAGAAGGGGACATTTGGTGTGTTTTATTTAAGTGTATTTTATTACTGTGGGCAAGTGTTTTTCTAATTTGAAACATTATTTCAGAAGGGGAAAAGTAACGAAATTGTGAGTGCAAGTGATGTTTTACAAACACAAGAATCTGTTGCAATGACACATACAAGGGTCACCAGAAGACAAGTCCTGCCTCAGCATCATTCTCATGAGAAAGGCAATCCCACAAAAGTCACAACATCTGCAGCTACACCTACTAGGAGAAAAGAAAGTTAGACTACAAAGGAGAGGCATATTTCTGCTGCAACTTCACCCACAAAAGTCACAAGGAGCCAAACTCAATCTGCTGCAACTTCACCTACAAAAGTCACAAGGACTCAAACTCAATCTACACCTACAAGGAGAAAAGGGAGTCAGAGCACAGGGCATACTTCTGTTGCAACTTCACCCACAACAAGAAGCCAAAGTGTAGCTGCAACTACCCCTACAAGGTTAACAAGAAGTCAGTCCAAAGGTCTTACACCTACCAAGGAATTGGTGCCAAAAAGGACTCAAAAAATTTAGACTAAGAGCAAGACATTGGGATTGAAGAAGAAACTAGAGGTATTAATAATGCTCATTTTCTTGTGATTTTTTTTCCTATGTGCTTCAACCTGTTGTAATCATATTATTGTGCTATTAATAGGTGAGCAGGAAAAAGAATCCTTTAACTCAAGGTGCAAGCTTTTCAACAGCAAAAGGACCAGTTGTGAACAAGCAGGTGGTGCAATCTCAGCCTGAGGCAGAGATATTGGGAAGCTATTGGATTATTAGTTGTGGGAGCATAGTGGATAACTAGGGGTTGATAGATGTGCTTCATTTTGGAACTGTAATGGTTGTGGTTGGTTTTGGATGTGGTTGATAACTTTGTTGAACTGTAATGGTTGTTAGGTTATGGATTTTAGATGTGGTTTTGGATATTATGGTAACTCAGATTGGATGTGGTTTTAAGTTTTTGAAATCAGATACAATGGTTAGCTTTTGGTTTGGTCATCTATTTTGGTTGTTGTGACTGGGTGTTTTTTGATATTGGGCTTGTAAAAAACAGGTTGGGTTGGAATGGAAGAACTATGGCTATTACATAATTGAACTTCTGTTTTGTGTTATGGAAGTTACATATGTTCAATTTCTTATTTCTGTTTGATTTGGAATGAAAGTACTCAATATATACACAAACATTCACACATCATGTAAAGGCATCTTACTAACATTCTAAAGAAAT